TACCCATTTAAGCCGTCTCCAGCCATTATTAGTCTCAAAGTGGGTTCCTCGTCATCGAATCTAAGATAGTCGTTAACTTTCCCACGGGAACAATGTTAGTACTCTGAGTGAAACTGACATTTAACTGTTCAGAAAATAACGTTGTGCAATATCATTTGTCAGATGCAAACCTTAACTTTCTATTGGTTATAGATAATATATAATTAAACATAAGAGAGAACTTTTAATGAATTCTGAAAAAGAGGATGTGACAGGTAGGTGTGGCAAGAGGGGTCATATTTTCTATTTGATAGCTCTGTAACCAAACAAATTGGAAGACTATTAAAAATTATGGTTTGTCTGAGCAATAATGATTTTATAGAGAGTAATTTACATTTAATTTCATACTTACTGGAGGGGTGGTGGATAAAATAGAGACGAGAAGATGTGCCACGTGTGTCACACCAGGGGAAATTCAGGATTTTTTTAAATATTGCCTTATACAATTAAGAACTTAAAATTTATATACTATTAAAATATGAATTATTAGCTAAGATTTTATGCTATATTTATTGGTAAAACATAAACAAAAAGAAATTTAATAAAATTTTAAATGTAAGACACTAAAACCTTGTGTCATGCACAGTAAAGTATATCCGTAGCAACAGGGTTAAGAAAAACTTGTACATTCTTTTGTATGTAAGTTCGACAATAATGGAGTTCACTAACAAAACAGAGCCTTGCCATCTAGTGAGTTATAAAACAAACAAATTTAATAATTACAATAACAATATGATTATGTAACATCTGCCACCTACTGACAATTTGTAAAATTACATTTACAATGTTAACAGTTCACAATATGACAGGCATTACTACTTCCATCATTTCTATTAAATTTTAAGGGTTATTGACAGCTCTCTATCTATAATGACAGATCATCATCAGATCTATGATTATTATATGAAAATTTTTATATAAATGTCAGTTCATTTGCTAATAAAGCATTGTATTAAAAATTATGATTTGGAAAACAAAATATAAACAACTTGGTAATATATCAGTTCTATTATATTAAAATCATACACTTATTCACAGAGAAGCTGTATGCCAAATGTTATAGTTGTACATCAAGCCATTTGGAAATAACAATAGAAATACAATCATGATTTTTTACAAACTTCAGAAGGCCCTCTGGGCATTTGAATTGTAATAACATGCTTAAAAAAATTATCTTACTTTAAAGCATTTAATGCGCTATCAAAAAATATATATATATATGATATATTACATAACGTACTTAATACCATTTGCAAAACAATTTTTAGAGTCAACTTTCATATAATGTCATAAAATTGTACCCTTAAATGCTGTTCAGGTCAATATCTGGCTACTATTGAGAGTTCATACGATATCACATGTGAAGTACGAGTTAAAAAAAATTACCAGTAACTGACAGCTTAAACTCTGAAATTAAAAGAAATGTTCTTTCAGCCAATGTTCAAGCACATTTCTGAAGACTGGAGTTAAATCAACAACTACACAATATGATAATGATAACAATGAAATAAATTCTTTAAATAACATTACCTGTAACAGGCTTCTACAAAAGCTTTCTCATCTGGTGATGATGCATGATACTCTGGATTAGTCTCCTCACAGTTATTGCTAATTTCAATTGTGAAACCATTACTTAAATTTTTTACATACACCTGGACTGTGTTACAAACAGCCAAGACAAGAAGAAAATCTTCAACTGGACCCTAAAATAAGCAAAAGACATGAAAGATCTATTAAAACATCAAACTTCTTTACAATGAAGACCTAACATAATGAAGACCTAACATAAAGATAATAATAAAACTAAAAGTTACAAACAGCCCAAAAAGTTACAGTTTCTCACATTCCTTCACATCCAACGAATGATCAAAATTCATCGCAGAAGTTTCGGCCAGACACAGTTTGAATTTCTTTGAAGTATAAACCCCTTTATTAGGTCTGATGAGCTAAAAGTTGCACCAGTGGATCAAAATATCATCTCAAACCAACTTAAATAGACACCTTTTGAGCTCCACATGATATATATATATATATATATATTACCTTTTGTATAAAATACAATGTACTTCTGAATTTGAATTTTCAACCTTAAGTACATGGGTTTAACATTCAGGTCATAAGTCCCTAGAATTCAGGTATAGTAACAAGTAATTCTGAACTACTGATCTGAGGAAAGGTAAGCAGCCAGCAACACCAAAGGTTTATATTTTGCTCTTTTGAACTAAATAATGAATTTTATTGTCACGTTTATAACATACCTACATGCTGAAAGTGTGGAACTTATCCAACGTCATTGCAACTCGAATTGCAGACCATTTGATCCACAGCAAAGCATGCTAAGTACTAGTTACACAAAGCCAGTGTACTTTAATAAACCATTTGTAAGCTGGCATTCATGAAAATTTAACCTGTTTCTATCACAAACAGAATTCTAAATTAACCCTCCCATATTAAATACAATTTTTTTATATGTTCAACAAATTTATACAGATACCCCCCTCATTAATTTTCTCTGGTAATATACTTTATCAAGTTTGCTATTATTTCATTTGAGAGTAATGATTACCCCCAATTATGTGAAGTTTTTTTTTCCAAACACACTAGAATACACAAATCACACCGTTTAAATAAGCTGTTTGTGACAAACATTCTTAAATGTACGAAATGTTTTATGGTACAAGATATTTAACAAAGAATTAGACATGCCATAAAGAAGACATGTTTTGCTTATTAACATTACGTAACACTTTGCAATATTCATAACTGGTAATAATGTTGGATGGTCTCAGCAGCAACAAAGTTATTTTTAATGACTTTAAATTCATCAACACAAAATATTTTGTACTCAAATAATACCTACAGCAGACAAAGTATGGCAGATTATAATAATATGATGCACAACAAAATTGGAATGGTATTAAATAATAAGATTTTGAGAAAGAAGTTTCATTATTTTCATACATTTTATAAAGAATATGATGATGACACATTTTGTGTTCTTCAGGTCCAGTCAGTCACATGTACTAACTTTCTTCATCACAAAAGCAAAAAAGATAGTTGTGGTGTAACATTAATAATTTTTGATCTAAGCAAGCTAAATACTAATACCACAACAACTCACCAAAGTGATAATTAGTACAGCTAATCAAATATACTCTTCTTACTTATAAGGTTTGTAATGTCTTGTTTCATCAGTTAGGTATCTTGCTGTTTCATTTAAAACACTCTTCTTTCTTACCTGTGAAATTTCCTTTAACTTAAAAACAATAATAAATATAACCTAACTATCTCAAATGTAACTTTTTTAGAACACATATTTTAAGATTTATATTTTCCAACATGGCTAAAAAGCCTATATGGCTGGTCTAGCTATCCTTTTAACTACTGTTGTGCTTGCTCTCTTACATAGTAAAAACTAACATTATACTACACACCGAATAATGGAAAACTGGTTCAGGAGCACTACGGAATGATTCAGCAACTTTGCAAAGCATACCACCATGCTCAGTGTACTTAACACCATCGATGGAAGAATGTCGAAAAACCATGTCATTTTCTGTTAAAGTTCCTGTTTTGTCAGTGAACAAATACTGTACCTATAAAACAACAAGAAAAAATTCAGTGAAATAATATAATGATACCTTTGTAAAACTTTGTTTCTATAATATTATCAGCCCTTTTTCATATTTTAACAAAATTAATTAATTTTGTATTAGAAGATAAAGAAATTGTTTCTAAACAAGACTGATCTAAAAAGGGTGAATTTGTATTGTTTATTAAATTATTAAGTAAAAATATACTAGTAGTATCAAATCTTGAAAATATTTTAAAAAGCACTTGTATTAATTCTGAGTGTCTCGTTGATGAATTACTAACTGATATGAACATGTGGTGACCAATACATATAATAAAAACAGATGTTTCTAACAATATACTACACTATTGAAAAAACCAAAGCACAACTGGCATCAAACGTTTGCTTTTAACCATTTAAAGTATTTCAAAGAGAAAACAATCTTGTGAACTTTTGTACTTTTCTCCCACACTTATCAAGGACCAAGGGGACCATACAACAATAAATAGAAAATCTGACCATTTGTCAATTACCTTGAAACAACATGTAAAAAAGGAGAGAACTTACTTTCTCATTTAAAAAAAAATACACACTAGATCACAAAAATATGAGAACTCTGCCCAGTGACCAAGAAATAGTGAAATGACACGACTGTTATTTCTACAAGACCCAAATCAACTATTTATCTGTACAAATTTGCAACTTGGACATTTTGAAGTGACTTCATTGTCATATGTTTAAGGAAATTAAAAAGGTTTGCTTTTGTTGTGATTTTAATTACTGATTACTTTTTATTTTATAAAACTGTAAATTTTATTTCTGTTTTTATTTGAAAACACCACTGGGCTTATTTCACGGGTATACAATAAAAATAACTTTTTTTTTAAACTGTTAATCAGACAGTTTGATTTAATACAGGTAAGTTTTAAATTCATTTACATATATATTTCTTATGCTTATTTCTTGTGATCTTCTTTGTCCATTGAAGCAGTTACTTAGGCATAAGGCCTAATGCAAATAGGCCTAAAACAACACCCTTGTCATGAAATGAAACTTGATATGGTTGAGTGCAAAATGACTTATTAAACTAAGCCTACTTCATCTCATCTTATAAAACTTGACACTTGAACATCATAATTCAAATGAAGTATAAAATGATAAAGCACCCTTTAAAAATAATCAGGACTAACTGTAGTGGAAGTTGTTCCCAAACATTTTCTTCTAGCAACAAGTCATCTAATTAAGTTTTCAACACTTTTCCAGTCTTTACACAAATCTCTGCCAAACTGGAAGTTTCACTGGCATTTATAGTTGCATAGAACAGAAGAAAAAAGTAGCCTATAGTTTCTCAAAGCTGAAATATAGGCAATTACATTACACCATGGAAACAGAGTTTGAGAAACTGTGACTGGCTAAAAATCACTAAAAATACATTTGTATTGAAGCTACATGGAAATAATTACACTATTTTACTCAAAATTATTATGACTTTCTTCCTAAGAGGCTACAAGTGCATATTATGATCAGAAGAACTTCAGGAATAATAATCATTTTAAAGGGAGCAAAATGAAATGAACCAAAAATCGAAATTTGTTACTTTTATTAATATCTATGTTAATTTTGCAGTTGAAGAAATTTCAATTCTGAAGTATTCTTTTTCAATATCTGGAAAAAACGAATACAAGTTTATTTTCTACAATTGTTTTAATTGAGCAGTGCAATATTGCTCTCAAGCTGGACTGCACCCAACCAGATGTGAAAGAGTTAAAGGAAAAAAATTAGAAGAATGCATAATTAAAAGGTTTTCTATCAGATAAAGCTGTGAAATTAAAATTTTCTATTCAAATTGGCAGAATATATTTACGAATCTATAAGTAAGAAACACATAACATTTAATCCATGTTCTTGGAATACATCAAAATCCAGCCAAAATTACAACAATAATTCACAATAATGAAGGAAAATAGACATTCATACCTCAGTAAACTGAACATAATAGTTCAGGGAAAAAATATGTAGTCATCAAGATGCACTTTACAATGGATTAAATGTGTGTATTTCAAATACAAAATAACAATAATGGTCACAAAAGTTTTCATTAACTTAAAAATTATCCTCACTTGACCAAGTTCTTCATTTAGGTCTGAGCTATTGCACTTTGCACATTCATTCGAATTTTCATCATATAGTTCACCATCCCATGTTAGAAACATAACACCAAAAAACTTCACCATTTCTGAAAATGAGTAAAATATTACATCCTTTGAATTGTTTCATATTTTACATATTTACAATTTTAGACATGACAAACATTAAGATAGAATACAAAGGACACTGTTTTTTAAGCCTCCACATAATTAAAAATAAATCTTATATTTACCATTATGTTCAATTTAATTCTACTGACTGACAATCTTAATGAATGTATTTAAACATTCATTAATATGTTAAGTGCAATTTATTTACAACAGTGAAGTGACTTCTTTAATAATATAAAAATAAATAAATAGAGAGACAGAGAGATAATAAGTACAAATGAGAGTTAAACATCATTCTAGGTATATATCTTGAAGAAGTCATAAAATTAACTCTCTTGCTATAGGCTCGGTTGATTCAACCGAGTTTATTACCCTAAAGTGACTATCAGATTCTACACTATAACTTTTAATATGTATTGTGTATCTTAATGAAATTTTACAAGTTTTCAGTAAATGTTTTAAGTCTTTGGAATAGAAAGAATCGGTTATTTTAACTCTTTTCAGCATGGGCTCGTTCCCTGGGACCAACCTCGTAACCATTTTGTGCTTGTTATAGTTTTCATGCTATAACGTTTAAACTAGTAAGTGAATGTTAACGAAATTTGGGAGATTATCAATAAATATTACAATGCTTTCATATGCAAAATATCAGATATTTTTATTAAGTCTTAAGGTTTGCAAAGCAATGTTTTTTCATGTCTTTTTCTTCTTTTCGCATGTTTCCTATCTATCATGCAAAGTAATATTCAGTTTAAGATTAAAAATACTTTTATGAATCAGAAAATTTTCAAATTTCACATGCGAAATCTTTATACCAGATATGTCCAGATAGTTATCAAATGCTTCTTAAGAAATTATTTAATTACTGAAAATAACAGATAAAAATATAATCTCTGTACAGGTTTGGTAGATTTGACCAATCTCGCAATCACCACAAAAAATTATGAAATAAATGTAAATTATGCCTCTTTCATTCTAAAATGAACACAAATTATAACATGAAAACATAAATGTTTAGACAAAATAGCTTAAATCTCACAACATTATACATATATATGTATTGATTATTTTTATTATATTGACCTTTCAGCCATGCCTGACTAACCATACAGAAGTTACAATGACATGGCTCATGTGAACTCATGTTACCGTATCAAATAACATAAAATTGACCTGTCTTGGCTGTGTTTTAATAGACTAGTATTTTGTAAAATACAGTCACATTTCCATTATTATACATTATATATGTATATAGATTATTACTATTTAGAAATAAGTTCTTATACTTATTTTTCTTAAAACATAAAACAGTAAATAAGGAAGTAAAGCAAACAATTATTTCTTCTAGTTATGATCTTTGTACTTGGTTACTAAGCCTTTAACAAATTTGCACATCGAGGATATGAAACAAAATATTTTTTTTAGGTTTTTATATATACATTTGAATAACTAAAAAATCATAAATTACAACATAGAATTCCACTATAATTTATCAAACTTAGTAACTAAGACGTATTTTAGTCTAAAAAAATATGAAATTTCAAGCAGACTAAAGACACACCCTACCTCGTTGAAATATTGGTTTAAAGAGAAGTAAATGTTGCTAAGTCAGAGCTTAATATACATTTCTTTAATCAGAAAAAATACTTATATTTTTACACATTAAATTTGATTATTCTTTCTTTTGCACCTTGTATTACTATGAAAATAGATTAATACAACTACTAGAAATATTCAATTAACACTCAACTTGGTGGCATAAACCTTAATAAAGATAGGGTTAAGTACAAGTTAAATATAACATATAATGGTCCCACTAAAAATACCTAAGAATGAAAAATACAAAATTAAAACATTTACTTACCAATAGTTACATATAAAGAAATTGGTATTATGTAATTGAACAAAACTAGAAACGCAAGAAAATCGGTAAAAACTTCTCTTGCCTACAAGACAAAAAAGGAAGAAAAAATCAGAATATATATATATATATTAAAAGATGAAAACAAACAAAATTATTAAGAAATTAATAAACTTTTTCTCACTTATAACTTTTGGTTGGGGATAAATTACACACATAAACGAATGATAAAACTGATAAAACAAAATAATAACTGAAACAAGTTTTAAAAACCACGAAAATATCTTCAAAATATTAATAAAGTGAAAACAGCTTCAAGAACAATCATGAAAGAATAATGGTTATTCCAATTGGAAATGTTTTTCACTTTTTACTTACTCTGAAAATTACCTTTAAACAAACCAAATTAAATTAAATATCTTTTCAATGCATGATCCATGATGTTAGAAAAACACATAGTTCAAGAAGTCTTGATAGAAATGAATAAAAACCCTATAACCTTTCTTTTTCAGGGGCAAACTGGGAATGGTGGTGTAATAGAATGAGTGATATAAATATAGGGAGTGTAGTGATATCATGAAGGTCATCTGGTTTTCCAGGAAATGTTTAGTCTATTTCTCTACGTACTGTTGTAAGTATTTCATTTCTGGTACGGTGTAGCCGATGGCGAGAATGTATGTGAAAAGGTGTTAGGGATATTTTACTTTAGAAATGGATAAATATATGTATGTTTAAAACTATACTTAAGTGTTTAAGTAAAATAAAGGTGACACATGGAGACAGATTGAAAAAGATATGTTATACTATAAATTTATAAAAACAGGTATGGAAAATTATCTTAAATAAATAGTAAGTTTTAGGAAATTCAGTGTTCACATTATATGAAAAAAATGAGCAAAGAATAAAAATTATTTTTCTGACAGAGACGAAACCAATGAAAGGAGATCACTGATTCCAGGATCTAGATTAAAGGTTGAACAGTGTTTAGATTAGCAATCCTATAAGCTTCTTTTATTTCTCTATCTGCTTTAGTATTGAATCCTGTTTCAATGCTGATAAGAGTAACATTGTTAATGGAATGACTGGGTTGGTTAGTGTTGAACAACAGGGAAATCGTTTTGTGGTGTTAATAGAAGATTTATGGTTGTTGAAACATTCTCTAAGAGTTGTTTGTGGATGTCCTACATATTGATAATTGCATTTTTAACACTGTACAAGGTATATGTTGTTTTTTGTTTCACAAGTGATTTCTTTGCATATTTTATAGTTTCTTTGATTGTGCTTGTTAGAGAATGAGTAAGTGGATTTTATGAACTTGCAGATTTGACAACAGGCTTTATTACATGGACGACAAAAATTTTTGGGTGGGATATAATTTACTTTTGTGTGAACAAGGATATCTTTTAAAGTTCTGCTTTTTCGGAAGAAGACAAAAGGAACTTCAGGAAATATCTGTTTAAGACGATTGTTCAGTTGTAGGAGATGAAAAATTTATTTTCAGAATTCATGAAACATTTCTGAGTTTAAACTGATAGGTAATAATAATAATAATTCTATTTGAAAGTTTAGTATTGCCCTGATTTACGATGTTTTTCCGCTGAGTGTTGTTAGCCTTTTCAATTTATCAGGTGATTTTGGTATCTTTATAACCTTGTAACCTTAACCATTTCATCTCGTTTAAAAGCGAAAGTGTACCCATACATTTATCCTTACAGTAACAATCTTCAAGAGGGAAATCTGCTCTTTCTAATCATTATAAGCATGCCATTCAATTTAAAACTGTAGCATAGCAACACAGCTTTGATATTGCAAGTGAGCATAGCTGACCTTAAACTAAGGAAATATTTACAATGGTTTCTTGGGGGGGGGGGAGATATTCTTCAAAAGGGCTTGAGAAAGTAATGAAAAACATGTGTATGGTGTACTTTGGCCATCTGAAGGAGGCATCTACATTCTACACACACATAGTTTCTTCTCTAGCAGCTCTTAAGGTATAGAAATTGTAACCGCAAACCGATCACGTTACAGCAAAAACTGCATTTTTGTTTTAGACATTTCTTTTGAAAAAAAAAGGAATAAAAACTTAGATAATGTAAAACTTTGAATTATAACGTACTTGATAATAATAATTTCATTAAAACACATAGATAGTATAGTGATTTAATTAAATTTTGAATGTAAAGCAGTACTAATGCATTGGCATTTGGTCTTAAATAATGCACCAAAGAACACAGAATAATAACATGCAAAAAACAGACAATGTCCTATAACTACTACAATTTTCCTAGCTTTTCACATTTGTGACAAGAGCCGTTACAAATTCAGCTAAGTTTGTCAATGTGTTTCCCAGAGGAATCAAGCTTGAACTGGAAGGGAAACTGACAATCATCTGTGCAGAAAACAACGTAACATAATATGTCATTTGATAGATTAAAACCTTGCCTTTCTATTGGTTATAAATAATATAGTATTGAATGTCAGAGAGAACTATTGGCAATTTGTGAGAGAGAGGGAACGTGACAGGTGGGCATAGCAAGATAGGTCTGATTTTCTGTTTAATGGCTGAGTAACAACAACATTATAATGAATAATGTATGTTAAATTCTGTACTTCTTGGAGGGGTGGTAAATAAATTAGAGAAGAGATGATGTCTAGAGAAAAAAAATGTCACAATTCTCATACTAGGGGAAAATCAGTTTTTTTTTAAATATTGCCTTATAAAATTAAGAACTTAAAGCTTATATATTATTACAATATGGATTATTAGCTATGTTTTATGCTAAATTTATTGGAATAACATGAAAGAAAGTAGTTTAATTAAATTTTGAATGTAACTCATTAAAACCTCATGACATGCGCAGAAAAAGATGCCAGAGGAGAGAGTGTTAAGTTGTATTTGTGTTAATGAAACATTTAAGCCAAAACTACTATGCTTTTAAGTGTTGTGCATTTTACTTAAGCTTTGAAACATCAATATCTTAAGTGAAATATGATGAAAAAAAAAAGAAAAAAAAACGTGCACGAGTTATCAAATGTTTTTATTTATAGTTTATCTATTTTCATGGTTCTATGTGTTTTCCACTATCATAAACTCAAAACATATATTTAAACTACTTTTTTTTTTAAAAGATGCAGTAGAAATCCCTCTTGGTAACATATTATCCATCTTTTTATCTTATTAAAATAAATCAACATTCTAAAATTTGATTTTTGGAACTTACACTTGTGTTTAAGTTTGATTGTAGATACCATGAGACCCCTAAAACAGGATCTCTTATATAGAAATATCTCAATCCTGTTGCAATGGAAACTTCAGTGACTAGCAACACTAAGAAAAACAACAGGAATTTATTCATGGACCTGAAAATGAAATAAAATAATTTATTATACATATAATACTTGAAAAAATACATTTAACCAAAGTTTCATTTTTAAATAAAATAATGTAACTTGAAATAATACTAATTTCATTAGAAGAACTAAAATAAAAATAAAGGGAGAATATACAAACTTAACCTTTATCTTGAATAATATATTCATTAAGCTCTCACAGACAAGAATCAAACTAACAATACAGTATGTGATGGAAAAGCAAAAGGATCATGACAAATAGGTTAAAATGAAAAAACAACAACAAGAAAGTAATTATGTCCACAAATACATACTTTCTTAATGTTTAAATACAAAAAACAAAAAGAAAAAAAAAGGAAGAGCTAGTACACTTAGTACACAAAAAGCAAGTACTTTAAAGTGTAGGATGAAAAAAGAAAGACCCTCAGACTTACCACTAAGACACCTGGAGGCAAGATTGAAGAGACAGAAAAGTAAAATGTTAAGTTTCTCAAACAAATCACAAGTAAACTTTATTTTGTAATGCTCTGAAATAAAATAAATTGACAACTATGTATGCAAACAATTCCTGTGTGTAATACACAAGGTATATTAAACATTCAAAAATATGTTAGAAAAGTATAGAGACTGCTATGGATTAAAACTCCTTAAGTGATTTAGTTCAAAATATAAATCAGACATGTACATAAGCAATTGATAGTGAAATATGTACCAGAGCTTGTTTATGTGTACCTAAAGCTTGTCTAAAAATATTTCCAGAGGAGCATATTGTTCCCTGTATACAAAATAAACTGATCCAAGTCAAGTCTGGTATATCAACAAGAACTATCTGTAATACAAATGCTCCTTGTTATTGGTGGATTACCAATTTAATTTCTACCTCTATTGACAACAGAATACTGACATTCATTCAGAAGATTTGCAATAGTAAAATCTGACCAATCATAAGCATAGTAGTGAGAGTGATTCAAAAAATAAACATGATTTGTATCAGTCGAGTATGAATAATATATCTTTAATGACTTTGTCAGAAATTATTGATCTATTCATATATTATATTCCAAAGTGCACTACTTCAACTGAAAGTTACCAATAGTATCATGCGGTATGTTTCCCTCATGTATTTCAAGCAAGGACTAAGATTGTCACATGGACAATAGTCTCAACAAATATGCATGTTGCATCTCATGACTTGAAATATCATATATATACTATGTAATTGTGATTTTCTCCAATACAGTGTTTGGGATAATTTCATAAGCTGTCATTTTTTGTGCCAATTTTATCATGTCCATAGTTTTGTTAGTCAAATATGTTTTACTGTGTGTCACATAATGTTTACTCTAGAGCTGCACAATTAATATTATTTTTTATACTTGATAAATTGACAGACTCATTAAATGAATTATAATTAATTAATACATGTTCTTGGTATACTGGGAGAAAACACACCAAAAAACCAACATATGGAGATGAGCCAACTTCTAGTTTGAAAACCACTGCTATATTCTAACATAATATTAATCTTTCTATTTTCAGCTATTTTTTAAAGTAATTTTTGATTTATCCTGCATTTATAATAGATATATGTCAGTCACCATATGTACATTTTGCAAAAGAAAATTATTTTGACAAAACATTTTGTCACAGGTTTTTGGAAGATAATCTAGACATTTCCTACTTAACTAGTGATAACCATGCACTTGCCATTTTATTCATTTTTAAAATATGCAGCTAAACCCCACTGATATTGTGTAAATTATATAATTTTATAATTAATGAAATCATGTTTTATTATTACTAATAATGATGATAGTGTTTATATTTTAAACATATCAATCAAGTTTACAATCAGAAATAATTAAGCAACCAGTTAGCCAATTTATTTACACATGTTGTTTGAATAGGATAAACATAAAAGTAATATTGAATTAATAAGGATTTAAGTTACATGAATATTTTGCCAACACCAACTGTACTCTATAAATTAACTAAGCTTATTTGATTTCATGACGATTTGATTTGCAAAAATAAAAAAAAATCCTTATGTTTATAGCCACTGTAATACAAGATGAAATATCACACACACACACATACATATATATATATACTACATAATTGTGATTTTACCCAAGCAACCAAAACATCAATAAATGTAAAATCAAAGAAGTAATCTTAAAACTTGATTGAACAACACAGCTCTTTCTTTAAAGCAGCACCCTACTCACTCAACAAAAAGTACCCTATTATGACATGATAATCTAATTCTTGCTCTACTTATCATATTTAATTTTTCTTTATGGCTGTTTTCAAAGTTATGTTTCATCAGTAAATGAATAATCAAACGACTTGGTATGACATCACAAAAAGTTTACAAAAACTAGGCAGAATAAAATTAGGGGAAATACTTGAAAATCAAGAAATGGTAATGATAACAAAGTTATTCAATTAAATTTTGAATGTAGCTCTAAAAAAGTTGTGACAAGCACACTTTGACCTGCTTGTGATGAAAGAGTTAAACTCTCTGGATTTGGGTAGGTCAAAGTGCACATGTCAGGATCTTTTCACAGACTTACATTTAACATTTAATTAAATGACTTTCTTATGAATGTATGTCAATAAAATTAATATAATAATGTAAACAGTTTATAATTCAAATTTAATACAAGTTTTAATTTCTTAATATCAAAAGGAAATATTTAAATAAATTCTCAATTTTTACTTCTCTCCAAATTGCCAATTTTACATTTTCTTTCTACCCATGTATGACCTTTTAAGTTTGGCACAAATTATTATCTTATAATATAGGTAATGCTAAGCTATAATGAAAACTCAGAGCCTCCAAGCATCTTGCTTTAGAGATATATATATACAAGAAAGCCAAAACCACATGCCACACCTTCCTATTACATTTGCATTTCAACAAAAAAGTCAATAATTCTTTGACACTTTGCTATTGGATTATTTATAGCTTACAAAATAAAAATATCTCACTTTATTCAATTCCTACATGGCTAGCTCATACCAGATGTCAGATATTGAAATTTTTAGCCTCTGTTTTGTGGTTTACTATTGTGGAGATTACCTCAACCAACTTACAACGTTTTGTAACCCATTTATAGCTTAGTTAGTACTTTTAGGGCATTCTATTTTGTGTGCATGATAATGTTTTGTGTTCTAATTGTATATTTGAAATTAAAAAAATTACACACCAACATCCCTACCAAAAGTTAGGGTTAAGGTTTGTTGGGAGCAAAAAGTACAAGAACCCACATATAGGTACTAAATTTCTTGATTTTATGTATATTTTTTATCTATTGTTATAAAAGTTACTAAGCTGAAAAAATTATAAAATAATTAGGTTAAATAAGAAAACCTTAAATCTAAATAAAAAAATTACTCATAGTAATGCAGACACACACACATTACAAAGTGATGTGCATTCCAAGAGTGGTTGTAATTTGACTGTGCATGGCTGTAACTCAATCCTTCATTTACACAAAGCTGCTCCGCTCTAACAAATGGCATTTGCCATACACTGAGATGGTCTAAGTGCAGCTGTAAAGCTATAAAACTAAATTACTTCAAGATGTGAAAAGTATGTTAGCTTTGGTTGAAAGAATAAATAGTGTGTGTGTGTGTGTGATTGTTACAAAATGCAGTTATCTTAGAAAGAAGAAATGGGTAATTTAGATTTATTCTGTTTTTTCAAATTTTCATTTTACCCTACTTTGATGATATCTCTACAGTTAATGTTAGGGTACAGAAAATAGCAAATAAAATATGAAGTTTACATAGAAAAACAATTTTGATATTCATTCAGAAGATTATAGAGGTTATGCAAACGAAATATGAAAATAAGATTAAAAAAGTATTTTTATTTTTAACATGAATATCACCTTGCACTCTGAGTATCAAAGGCTTCACAAATTCAGAGACAAATCTTTAAGAAAAATACTTTAAAAAAATCTGATTTTTTTACTCCATACTATTAATGTTTACTAGAAGACTTCGAATTTGATGAAGAGGAATCAACTTTCAGAAAATAATAGTTTAGAGACAGCTTGAATGGGTAATGAAAGAAACTTTATTACAAATAACAATTGTACAATGTTTTGATAAGCTTTTGTCATCATCAGATGATGATAAAAGCATGTAGAACATTGTAAATTCATTATTTTGAAATAAAGTTTCTTTCATTACCTATTAAAGCCAACTACAAACTATATTTACTAGAAGACTGCCTAATTTTGTTAAGTAAATTTAGGGTTTACAAGGTAGGCCAAAATAGCCAAACACACATACTCCTGCTGTCATTCAAATTATAAAAGCTATTTAGTAATTTATGCAAGCCCAAAAAACCCTTGGAATTAACTATATACTTACAAACAACTTTAACTTCCTGTTGGGTAAAAAAAATTGACAGAAGCTCAATTTAATTTAAAGAAGTTAATATGGATAGATACATAACTTTTTAACATTACACATTATTATATACAATATTTAAAATGATGTAACCAAAGTATATACATTTTCCAGTATTTATTTGCTCAATATCTCACCTTTCTACAGTAGAAAATTTATTAGATGTCAATCTTAGATTCAAAGACAACTTTGTTTCAAAACCTGTATATACAGCACAACCTGAAAAATTTAAAAATAAATTGTTTTATATCATATCAAGTAAAATAAAATATGCCAAATGCTCACAACAGGAGCCCCTCTAAACACTTTTCTGCACAAGTCACTGTGTTACATTCAAAATTTAATCAAACACCTTTAACGTTGATGTATATGAAATAATTTAATATTATAATGTGTGTTATGATTGAAAGCTTTATTTTGTAATAAAGGACTTAAGATTGGATAAAATAAACCTTTAAAAAACTACTTAAAACTTCAGATGTACTGTCACGTGACCAACAAGCTATAAAAAAATCTCTTCTTTGGCTCTCTGTATCTTCAATAATACAATGATAATAGAGGTATGTCTAACCATTAAGATGCTTACATTACCTCTTGACTGGTTCCTTTCAAAGTACTCTGAATGAATATAATTAAAACAAGTAATAATTTTTTTTAACCCCTGACAGCTGCTATGCCCACCTTCAACAGATTTGTTTGAGCTTTATCCCTTCCTTGTAGATGTTACATACACATGTATATAATAGTTAGAAAGAGCTCATTTGACAGTATATAATAACAGAGGTTATTTTATTTTGAAACTGGGGTCAAGTCTTCAGCACAGATTACATGGAATTGACTATAGTACTGTTGGCTGCTTGATCAACTATAGTACTTATGGTTGTTTCCTACCTAAATATGTTATAGTTAGAGATACAGTTTAAATTTAGGTGTTACTATTATTCTTTAGTTAATTATGCATTAGTTCTGCTTTAACCCTTCCATTATGAGCTGGGTGGATTCCACCCAGCTCGTAACCACGAAAGTATCCAAGAGAGTAATTATAGATTTTCTTTGTATCAATGTTGTGGTGGTTACAAGGTCAGTCAAACTGCCCGAGTCTGTACAGTGATAACCCTATCGCCACAGGTATCTTTACTGTGCACGACACAAGGTTTTTGTGTATTACATTCAAAATTTTATTAAACTACTTTTTATTTATGTTATACCAATTAGTACAGCATAAAATCTTAGCTAATAATCCATATTTTAAGAGTATATAAGTTTTAAGTTCTTAATTCTATAAGACAGTATTTAAAAAAATCCTGAATTTTCCCTAGTGTTAATATTTTTTCTAGGTGTCTTCTCTTTTCTATTTTATCCATTAACCCTCCTAAAAGTATGAAATTTAATGTAAATTACTCCATTTAAATCATCATTGCTCAGACAAACCATAATCTTTATAGCCTTCAATTTTGTTTGGTCACAGAGATATCAAGTAGGAAATGAGACCCCCTCCTGCCACATCCTTTCTTTCAGGATTTATTAATAGTTCTCTCTTACATTTAATTATATATTACCTATAACCAATAGAAAGCAAAGGTTTTCATCTTGCAAATGATGTATTATACTAGGTTTTTTCTGTACAGAGAACTGTCAATTTCTCTTTTACTACAAGCTTCATTCTCACAGGGAACCCAATGAGTAGCTTCAATTTCACTTATAATACAAGGTTCATTCCCATGGGAAAGTTAACAACTAGCTTGGATAAACTTGTAATGGCCCTTGTTGCATGGTTAGAAAGCCAGAAAATTTTTGAGAGTTAGGGGATATTGTCTACGTTTTTGGTGCACTATTTAATCAAATAAAAATTACATAGTGCATTACTACCATTAGTATAAAAAAGTAGGGTTAAGTGTCATCAACAGCAAGAAAAAACAAGGCCCAGGTAAGTATTTGTTGTTTTTTATGTTTATTCTTTATTTATAAAAGTAACTAAAATTTAGGTTAGTTAAGGTTAGATCAGGTAAAACAATAATAATAATATAATGAAAATATTTCATGAGGCCCACATGCGAGCAATTCGTGGGTAATGTAAAGTGATAGTGTAACATGATCTACACTTTCCCAAAGTGATTTACAACTCATAATGGTGCGAATAGTAGCTAGACACAGTTCAAAGGGCAACAAAACAATTTTGATTTTCTTTTTTTGTGGTTACGATGTCAGTCAAATTGAACTACCTTGTATAGAGTTAGGATAGAAAAAATTACAGATAAAGTATAAAGTTTTATTGAAAAGAAATATTTGAAATTCATTTAGGAGGTTTTAGAGATTACACAAATGAAAACTGAGAATTTTCAGATGAAGTATTTTTAATCTTAACATGAAAATCACTTTGCACACAGACTATTCAAAACAAATACTCGATATATTCAAGGACAAATCTGTTTTTAGTTTATCAAAAATACTTCATTAAAAAATATGATTTTGTTGTGTGTGAAAGACTTATAATGTTCACTGAAAGACTGCCAAATTTTGTGAAGATGTACACACTATATTAAAAATTAGTAGTATCAAATCTATAAGAACATTGAACATGTACAAAGTCACGTGGTCGGTCAAATTAACTGAGCACGTGTTGAGAGAGTTAAACGTTACAGTATGTATATTTTTGTTATCTGGTAGTTGCAAGGTAAGTCAAAATGACCAAACCTATACAGAGGAAGTTAGTTATTTTGTGTTACAAATATTTAAAATTTTTTTGCACATTTCCTACAATCAGAATATAAGGTCCAAATTACTACAATATATGCATTTAATTGCATTATTAAAATGAATATTGATGCCACATTTTTCAGACCTAACAGTTACTGATTAGCATGTGAATAATATATTGCTAACATTGTAAAAAAAACTACTGAATCTTAATTCATCTGTTAAGTAAAACAGTGACATTAATAAACAATTGTTGCAGAAATTAAATGAACAGCAATTTCAGTATCAAGCATAACTATTATTCAGATTTCTGAGATTATTTGAAACCCAGTGGATGATAAAAATAGAAGATTCAACTTTTTGTAAGATATTTTTTCTTTTGTTTAAAATGAGTCTATAAATTTATGGCTCTGGAACTATGTAAGTAACATATAGTAAAGAAAATATAATTCAGGCAACACCTGACAACAGCAAAATATGTAAAAGGAAACCTTTTAACCCCCTCCACGTGATATGTTGAATGCAGCACTGGTTTAAAGTTGTGATGTCAAAATACTAAGTCTATAGTTTCATACGAATTAGGAACTCAAATTACCGATATTGACAAGCTAGAATATAAAATAAGAACCCCATATCTTTTCTATTTGCTGAGAAATCATTCATGTATTGAATCAAACACAATAGCCCCACTCACCTCTTTCAATTTCTGGAAATGGTCCCTTATATACACTTAATTTAAAATATGACATGTGAATAATCAATTCAAAGCTCAGAATATCCACCCAGTGGCTTTCTCAGCAATTTTCATATGCTAGGATGCCATCTCATTCTTTAGAACAAAGATTTCAAGGAGGTAGGTTGTGTCTTTAGTTTGCTCGAAATTTCATA